GCTGATGATGTAGCAATGCTCAAAGTCAAATACCCGTTTCGACGCACTTCCCGAACGCGGAATTTTTAAGGACACGTAAACGGCATAGGAGGATGAGAGAATCCCGAATTGGACTCGCACCGTATAGTGTGCCACTACACGTACAAGTAAACAGAGATTCAGCGCCCGCACATGCTAGATCTGATACCATATAAGTCTGCACTCGCCTTCTTGTAGATGGGTGACGGTTTTTGTCTTCCTCTCTCTTCCGAAAAGGAATGACACGAAGGTAGCTTCATGGAACCATTCGTGTCTTGGAGTTTCAGCCAATTTTTGAAAATCTATCTCTACCCACGACGAGGTGAGTGCTATCTAGTAGTACTAGTAGAACATACTAGAAATTGGTACCAATTATTATTAGCATTACATTCCGTACGTTAAGGGCGCATCTGCAATAGGCAGCGTTCTTCCTATAATACATTCGGCGTGTCACTGGATGCAAGTGTTCGGCATTTGAACGCAAACCTGAGCCACTTCTGCCCTGCTGGGATCTCATCTGAGTCATCTCTCTTGTGTCGAAATATTCCTGGAACCAAACAGTCCAATCAGCCCGCCGCAGCAGGCAAGTGAAGAACAGTGTAAGAAGTGTCCTGAGTGGCATGTTAACACACGTTGGTGCATTCTCTGAGCGATCTACCCAGGGCTAGGCGGGACACAAGTTAGTATTGCCTCTTCTTCATCGAGTTCTGAACCCAAGGTGCGTCCAATATCTTTGATGTACGACCAACTTGTATATACACGTAACTGTAATGATGATCGTAGTAATACGTGAAACTCAGAGTTGGGACACAGCTTCCAATCTCTCTTGTGTAATGCATGATTGTATACAAGTATTATGTGAAATGAGTTCCATTAGGTGCAGGGAGTCGGTATTTTACGACTCCCTGATTAGGTATTTCCTGTGCTGGAATATCTAGCATGTGCATGTACCGTAGAGGAGCGGCAGAGCGCCCCGCCTCACGAGAGCGCCCCACCTTGATTTTACAGCCAGGGAAATGAAAACCGTGTGGCAGAGTGCGACGAATTGTGTACGGTGTGAGAACCCTAGTGTACTAAGGTCACACTTGGCAGGTTTTTGTGTGGAGTGCGCTCGTGTCCGCTCGAAGGTAAATCGAGTACGGATTGACTGCAAAACGTGTAACAGTGTGTACAAGGTTCGTGTCGTATGACCTACAGACAGGAGACCACCTCCACAATACGACCACGAAAGGACGAGATGGTGGGGCGCCCTCGTGGTAATTTAATAACAATTTGTAAGTGCTGGTATTTGATAGATGGGGGCCCTGGCAGATGTTTCAGTCTGTTTATAAGAAGGAGCCCAGTGCGAGGCTAAAAAAGAGGTAGAGGTGCGGGAAGAGTAAAGGGGGGGGGGGGGGGGGATGAAGTGTACTGTTTAACACTGCTGATGACTCGTTGCACGATACATGTAAACAACGGGAGGAACATTGATTTGAGTTCGGGTGGTGAGCTAATGTAAACATGGACAAGAAGAAGGGCAAAATCTTACGAACTGTCCACAACTGTCCTTGTGTGACAAGGCACAGACCTGACAAGGAGTACTGAAACATACAACGCCCTGATGCCTAGCTCCAACACATCTACGAGGCACGAACCAACAACCTTCCAACTTGGAAGGCTCGGGTTAGGAAAGGTTCATTGACCAATGAAGGGAAGGAAAGCGCGACGAAGGTGAGCACGAGCTGCGATCCACGGCAGCAAAGAAAACCGAATGTCACCGGATGATGATGAAACTAGAAAGTGTATTGGACATACTGGTCTTACTGCAAGTCAATGACTCAAACATGCTGCTTTGCTACATGCCCCTTGGTCTGTCGGTCTGTCCGTCCGTCCGTCCGTCCGTCCGTCCGTCCGTCCGTCCGTCCGTCCGTCCGTCCGTCCGTCCGTCCGTCCGTCCGTCCGTCCGTCCGTCCGTCCGTCCGTCCGTCCGTCCGTCCGTCCGTCCGTCCGTCCGTCCGTCCGTCCGTCCGTCCGTCCGTCCGTCCGTCCGTCCGTCCGTCCGTCCGTCGGTCTGTCTGTCTGTCTGTCTTTTTCTGTCTGTCTGCCTGATTGACTGACCATCTGCATGTGTGTGTGTGTGTGTGTGTGTGTTTGTGTGTGTGTGTGTGTGTGTGTGTGTGTGTGTGTGTGTGTGTGTGTGTGTATTTTGGCGTCCAGGTACAAAGATGGCGACGCTATATTATGTTGCTGCTATGTCAGTTGTCACCCTCTTCTTCCTTTGGGTCCCAAGTGGATTCGCCCTTCCAGCAGGTTTTGGTCCTAGATGGATGCGCGTGGAAAAAGGTATGTTGCATGTATATTGTATTTAACTTGGATACTGAGCCAATAAGAATTGTAAAATAGAAGAAAAACACATAGGAACGAGTTATGAAGCAACTATCCACGACTGTAACAAGATAGTAAGCAGTCAGAAAGTGCGATAACAGTGCACAAAACTGACAGGCTACTGAGACATTCACCGACCTGAGACTTAACTCTACCACATCTCCAGTGCGCAAACCAACAGCCTTCCAACTTGGAAGGTTCATGGTTTGGTAGAACCGAAGAGGAGAAGGTGAGCGCAGCGAAAACATGCACAAGCTAAAGTCCCACGGCAACAAAGCATGCCGAATGTTACAGGACCAGGATGATGACGAGACCCGTTAATAACATGACAATGCGGTCTAACAACAATTGGAAGTAGCAAAGCAACACACCAGCAGCCTGTCAGTTTTGTGTGCTGTTATCGCACTTTCTGACTGCTTATTATCTTGTTACAGTCGTGGATAGCTGCTTCACAACTCGTTCCCATGTGTTTTTCTTCTATTTTGTATGTTGTATTGGCTGAAATTGGATGAATTTGTGTATCCATGGGGTTATGCAGTAATGCTAAGAATCAGGGAGGTATTTTACTACTCCCTGCTAAGTCGGAATCATTCATCATTGACTCTGCGGGAAGGATATCACTTTTCAAAGCAGTTCAGCTGATGCGTATCTGAATTAATCGTCTGACTAGCCCCCGACCTACTCCAATGTTGACTTAGATATCGCCTGTCCCTTTCTGAAGGGTATGGCCAAACAAATGATGCAAATAGTTGCTGCACACTTCCTAGATTACTCGAACTTCAGGGGGGGGGGGGGGGTAAAGCATTATTAAGTTCCTTATAAAATAGCTAAACTGTCCGAGGGTGGCAACATTTACATATTTACTTCATAACCCCCCCCCCCCTTCCTAAATCCCTTGTTTATCTACATTCTCACATTTGCTTCCATGTAATTGGGCTTTCGCCAGTGTGTACATGGAAATTCCAAAAAAGGAATCCATCCATCCATTCATACATACCATTCTTTACAGTATGCATTCGGCGCCTGTTCAAGCGACACTCCGCCACCAGACTGGGCCCAAATGGCCAGCATGGGTAGGACGACTTGCCGCCATACATGAACGAAAAGGAATTCCAAGGAGGCCGCACTGCAAGCTTGCAAGGAAGTCACGAAACCAGCACATGTACATGTATACCCATACTGTAAGGCATGTCGCTGTATATTTTTCAACCATTCTGTGAGTCAACACCTTTACAGACCGCGAGCACTCCGGAGCCATCATTCCGTTTGTAGCGAAGAGCAGTGGTGCGAAGGACCCATACTCCACCTGTGTTACCCTAACGCCATGTGAACGACAGAGGGGGGGGGGGGGGGCAGAAATATGGGGAGAGGAACGGTAGAACATAATGAAGGGCAAGTTAACCTCAGGGCTACACTAAAGCAAACGTGAAATGGGTATATTCTACTAGTATACAAAATAGCATCGTATATCAAATGTTCACCAGTTGTAGTCTTCAGGGTGCTGAGTCGAATGGTCTTGGTCCGAGGAAGCTAAGATGCTCCCTCTTTCCTTTATTCCCAATCGAACTCGCCACTTCCACCCAAAATGGGTGACTGCGCCCTACTAGATTGGGATTTGTATGCAAAATGTCACTAAAAGCACCATTTCGTTCTTATAAAAGCACGGATGACCGCGATTGGCCCATATGATGTAGTCGTTTGGACGCTGAGTCGACTGGTTTTGGTCTGAGAATGCTGCGATGCAGCGTTCGGCCTTTATTCCTAATCGAACATGGTTGAGTTAGCGGTCACGTGTTCCTGCGTACACCAGTCACCTGGTCACCGTGCCTGCAGGGTACGACTCACAGCCTGTTTGGGTGTATTCCTGTCACTCGAGTTGAACTCGAGTTGAACCTTGGTGTGAAAGTTGTACCCTGTGTGGTGTCAGACAGAGTTTATTCACAACTAGCAAGGAGGACAACAAACGAAGAACAACATTCCAAAGCAGTGTGCGAACACAAAAGGGAAGTGTGTGCGAACACAAAAGGAAAGTGTGTACGAGCGCATATGGAAGCAGGAGCTCTAGGCGCGTGCATGCGAGTTGCACCATATACGGAAGTATGCCATATACATCATGCCCCTCCTAAGATAAAACGTACAAGTGTTTATCTAATCAACAAAAAATAATGTGGAAATTGCATGAGCATAGCAAATGACATGTCGCGGAGCATCAGCAACTTCCAACACACTTGTAAAAGGGATAATTGCCAAATTATATACATGAAGGTTTTCAACTGCGAGGCAATGGGAATGACAATTGAATATAGGTACAATGGAAAGCAACAACTGAACAGAGCGAGTGTTAATTGTACGATTGTCCACGCGTTAAAATAATGTTAAAGGGGACATTCTGTCGCCGGGGACGTTGCCTTGTTCGAGGTGGTACTGAACAGTTGACTGTGGCGACGACTGAGTCACAGGGACTGCTTGTGATGCAGCGTCGGGTACAGGAGAGGATGGCTGCTGAAGCTGGAGTAGGAGGACGGTACGGGCGGAGATAGCGACGGTTGCGCCAATATACGTGTCCACTCGGTAGCTTGACGTAGTAGTCGCGGTGGTCACCGATAGCCACGACAACGCTATTCCACCAGGTACTTCATTGCCTTCACGGCTGCTTCCGCATGTCCGTTCAACTGTGGGTAGTGAGGGGACGACTGGATATGACGGATTCCCCAGCGCTCACAAAATTCAGCAAATCTGTGAGACGCAAACTGAGGACCACCGTCCGTTGATATGACCTGTGGTACGCCTACATCTGAGAACCACTTGCGGAAATGACGGAGGACCTCAGCTGACGTGGCTGAGTGACCAAGCTTGGCTATGCATGACCATCCGGTTGAACGGTCGACGAATACCAAATACTCGCAACCTTGGCAACTGAAAAGGTCAGCACTAACACTTTCGAATGGCAAAGTGGGCTTGCGGTCAGAAATGGGCGGTTCAGCGGACTGGGACGGCTGAAATTCGCGGCATGCATCACAGCTGCGGACTAGCATGTCTAACTCACTGTTCATTCCCGGCCAATACACTGTCTGACGAGCACGTCGTTTGGTCCGGGTCAGACCTTGGTGGGCTGCGTCAAGGTTGATCAGCGATGACGCACGCAGAGAGGCTGGGACGACTATGCGTAGACCTTGCAGGATTATGCCATCGTCGGTGGACAAATGTTCACGCACGTTCCAATACGCACGAAGAGGCTCGGGCAGCTGCTTTTGTGCTGAAGGGAATCCGTTCTTGATAAACACAAGTACTTGCATTTGGTAGTCAGGATCAGATGCTGCTGCGGTACGGAGCTTAGCGAACTGGAGACTCTGGGGACCATCTTGGAGTAGACAGATACGGATACTGCGGCAGGACAGTGCTGGATCTTCTCCGAGTTCATCATCACTAGTCGGGATTGATACAGGATGTCGTGAGAGAGCGTCTGCAAATACGTGCGCTGAGCCCTTACGCCACGATGCTTTCACTTGATATGGACGAAGTTTCATGATCAAGCGGAGGAGACGAGAGTGCTCTATCTGGTCAAGAGTTTAGCTGTTGATAATCGGTACGAGCGGACGATGGTCGGTGATTAGTGAGAACGGTGCGCCAGATAGATACAAGCGGCACTTGTGCACTGCCCAGACGACTGCGAGGCCCTCAAGCTCGATTGCAGCATACCTTGTTTCAGCATCAGATAAGAAACGACTTCCACACTGGATGAGGTGCCCTTGCTGGTTATCATGCTGTTCAGATGCATCAGTCTCGAGACGAAGAGGCTTGCCAGGTTGGAAGAAAGCTAACACTGGTGACTCAGTCAGGATGGCTTTGACGGCTTCGAATGCTATGGTGTGCTGCTGATCCCAGGCGAACTCATTGCTGGTTTTCAGGAGTGGGCGAATCGGCTCACTTAGTTCAGCAATGCGCAGTATGAAGTCGCTGCATTGGTTGACCAAACCGAAGAATGAGCAGAGGTCAGTGCGGTTGCAAAGCACTTCGAACTGGCGAATGGCAGATGTCTTGCTGCCATCAACGGCATAACCATCAGCATTGATAACGAATCCGCAGAACTGTACTTCATTAGCACCGAATACAAACTTGTGTGGGCTGAGCGTAATGTGATGCTCACGGGCACGTTGAAGGACGTCACGAACGTGGGTGACGTGGTCTTGAAAATCGACGTCATATACTAGGCCGTCATCAACGACTTTGACCGAATTAGGGAGGCGGTCAAATGCTGCATCTGTGTGGCAATTGAGTTCGTCACCTGCTGAGGACAGACCTTGAGGGTTCCGGCAATAGCGATACCGACCTAGGGCGTGATAAATGTCATGAGCAGCTTCGAGTCGTCAGACAGGGGTATTTGCCAGTACCCATGACGAGCGTCGAGTGTGGTGAAGAAACGGGCTTTACCGATAGCTGTGACGGCGTCACGCGGAGTACGAGCTGGGTGTGTAGGTCGGCAGACTTGGTCGTTGAGTTTACGCAAGTCAACGATCTCATTGGAAGACTTCTTGTCTGCGATGACGATTGGGAGGCACCAGTCTGACGGTTCAGTGACTGGCTCAACAATTCCATTGATCACCATGTCGTCCAGTTGAGATTTTTCCCGTAGCTATGCAGAAGACGTTACTTCAGTAACGTCTGGCGCTAGCCAGGGTCCACACAGCTTTAATTTGGTGTTTGTTTGTGTGTTTGTGTGTTTGTGTCACGCCTGGCGCTATCCCGTATCTGTCCCGTACCGTACCGTACCATCAAACACAGCTGGCCACATACAGCTGGCCGCACTATTCAAATAGGGCGTTCAAACGCAAGATCATAACGTGAAGCAACTTGGAAGAATGAAAAAAATCGGGTTCGAATCCCAGGTAATGCCTGAAAAAAAATAGGAAAATTGAAAAATTTATAACATCCCTATTTGCGGGTTCGAATCCCAGGTAATGCCTAAAAAAATTGGAAAATTGAAAATTTTATAACATCCCTATTCTTTTTTTGCCGTCGTCAAGGCGGTAGATTGTGTCGTATTACCCTCGACCGTACCTGTCCCGTACCTGTCCCGTACCTGTCCCGTACCGGACCGTACAATCAAAGACAGCTGGCCACAATGCATATTCAAATAGGGCTTTCAAATACAAGATCATAACGTGAAGCAACTTGGAAGTATGTATGCGAAGTGTACCGGGGGATGCATCCAGGGCGATAGTGCGGGTTCGAATCCCAGGTTATGTCTAAAAACAAAAAGTAGAAATTTATAAGACTTTAAGAACACCCCTATGCTTTTTTGTCTAGGTCATCAAGTGAAAAAAGCATAGCGTAGGGCCCTGAGCTTCCAAGCTCTCTCGTATCTGATCTCGGAAGGTGAATGGGATTGCGCGGGGACCATTAACACGGGTTGGTGTGGCGTCAGATTGAAGCTTTATCTCCATGGGAGGACCAGCCATGGGCTTCAATTGGGAATCGTCGAATACATCAGCAAACTCTTGCATCAGCTGAGCCTTAACATAAGCAATGTCTGCACTACTGGGTTCAGACTTCACACGGGAAATCCGGGGCCAGGACTCAGGGAGAATGCCAAGGGCACGGAGCGATTGGCATGACAGCAACGCCTCGTCAAGGTCTTCATACACATGAAGTAATGTGGTGTGCTGAGCTGAGCCAATGGAGAGTTTGGCAGAAATCTTTCCGAGGCTAACAAGAGAGGTGCCATTTGCTGCTGAGACGGTGTCAGAATCGACGGCAAGTTCTCAGGGAAGCCACCTAGCTGGGAAAGATGTGCTGGCCCGCTGGCGTCAACATCGCTGCCGGTGTCCGGAATCCATGTCATGGCTTCGGCGGTCGGTTCCGTGTTTAGCTGCGTGTGGACAGTGATTTCTAAACCACGTCGAACTGAAGCACGTTGCAACTTCAATTGGCCGACTTTGCCGGGCTTGCCTTTGTGTGGGCATATGGCCTGGAAATGTCCGACACGTTGATGTCGGGCACTTCGTTTCCAAAAGATGCTGCGGGATCGCTGCTAGCCACGCTGAACACAAATCCTCGTTGTGACAGCTTACACGACTACGAGACGAAAAAAAAACTGAACAAAACTCCTGTCTAAAACGAACTAACAAACTAGCTGCAGGGTAATCCAATCCAAAATCCAACGGAGTGCTACACTGCTACTAGGCCAGGTAAGACACTACAAACCACAGTCAGTTTCAAAAAGATTAGCAATCCTGGTGATCGCCCGGGGAGTTTGCCGTCTTACCGTATGAGCGCTCGAGCGCTGCCTGGAAAAACTCACTGTGAACTCGAAGAAATATTCCGCGCGAAAGCATGAAAAATGACAACTCACTCAGGTCGATGTCGGTACAGTCGTGTACGTCTGGTTCACAACAAACGAGTTCTTCCTCGTATCGATTATCGAGTCAGAGAGGACATGTCGAAAGTGTAGTAAATGCCAAGGCTGACGAGCGGCATGGGTCCCAATATGTTTTGTGACCAAATAGTTTCTTTGAGCTGCGATGCAATTTACTCTCACCATGTGACGAAAACGACATCGACACAGACTCATTCCCAAGGCCATGACTTGGCGAAGCTATCCGTATGACTTCGACAACATTTTGAGAAAAGCAGACGCCTGTGGAAGCTGATAGAAGACGGCGTTGACTTCTAAATTCAAATAAATTGGCGATCTTGAAATACTAAAATAATTCTCAAAAAGAAATCGATCGATCGATGTGCCGGTGTATTCAACACGTAGCTACAGCGCAATGACTTCCGTATTCACTCACACCCTTTCAGTGCTGTGGGTGTGTTCACATGGCGTGAGCCAGTCAAGTGTCAGTCAATTCGGGAGGAAGCGGGAGCTCCAACAACAACAATCGTGAACAACAACATGACAAGTCTGCTTGATCACCAAAAACAATGAAAAAAAGTGTGAGTTGAAGATAGGTTGGGATTTGAACTCACAACTTCATGGTCAGCAGACAGCATCCATAACCACAAGGCCAGAAAGGAAAAGATAAATCGTGGGTTTTGATAGAAAAATCGATACTGGCTTCCAGGGCAAATTGCAAACCATGGGAAAAGGCCGGAAACCTGGCCGAAATTCTAACTCCTTAACGGCTGGTCCAATTGTTCCGAAACCTTCACAGAACAATTTGCCGTGCCCTAACCAGCCCTTTTATGTACTTCGTTGTCCAATTTTCCCTTATCTTCATACTTTTTAAGACCAAAACCTGATTGCTAATCTTTTTGAAACAGACTATAATAGGTTGGTGTGGATAGAATGGAAACTACAGGACGAAATGTTCACTGCGCCATGTGATGTCAGACAGAGTTTATTCACAACTAGCAAGGAGGAAAAAAAACGAAGAACAACATTCCAAAACAGTGTTTTTTTTCTTTTTTTTTCTACAAAATCCACATATCTCCAGAGAGAGGGGGTATGATCCTCTTGGTTGGGCATCACCCGCTATTTTGCCTGGCAAGTTCCTGTTGCAAGAGTGTTGGAAGTTGGGTGGAGGATGGGATGACCCCCTACCAAGCAGTTTGTCCGTGCGTTGTGCCGAATGGTGGGGAGGGCTGGCAGATATCTCTGCAGTTCGCATTCCCAGGTGGCTCGGTTGCCCAGTTGGGAAGCCTGTCTTCTTGCATATGTTTGCAGATGCATCTGAGAAGGGCTATGGCTGTTGTTTGTACGTGGTGACTGGTGTTGTTTCCTCTTTGTTGTTCGCGAAAGCAAAGGTGGCACCTGTGGCTCGGCCTACTCTCGCTCGTCTGGAGTTGCAAGCGGTGTGCCTTGCCGCGAAGGTGCTGTCATTCGTTGTCAGTGAGCTGAGGATTCCGATCGAGCGGATTGTTGGCTGGACCGACAGTCTGACTACTTGGCATTGGATCTCGAAGCCGTCGTATCAGTGGAAGACGTATGTCGCTAATCGGGTAGCAGCTGTGCAAGAGGTGTCGCGGAAGTTGCACGTAGAATGGCGTCACTGTCCCGGTGTGAGCAACCCAGCAGATCTTGTGTCCCGCGGTGTTCCGGTGAGTGGCCTTCAGACAGTGATATGGTTGCATGGCCCGCCTTGGTTAAGCGAGGAGTCTGAGTGGCCACAGTCGATTTCGTCTCACAGCACGCAAGAGTCCGCCATTGAAGCACGCGTAGCGGCAGTGAATACAGTCAGGCAGTCAGTTGTTTGGCCATGGGAGAATCTTTCGAAGTGGCAACGGGCTCGTGGAGTTGTCGTGCGGATGCTCCAGTGGAAGGAGCCGGCAACCCGCGCTGAGCTGTTCCCTAAAGCAGAAGCTTTCTTGTACCGGTCCATCCAACAAGAGTGTTTCGCGGAGGAAATCGCTATGCTGAAAGAAGGCAATTCCTTGCCTCCTAGTTCTCGCTTGTACAAGTTGTCACCCTTCCTCGATGACGCTGGGTTGCTGCGGGTCGGCGGCAGGCTGCAGGAAAGTGAGCTAGGATATGACGCTAAGCACCCTATCATCCTAGCGAAACATCATCTGACCGAGCTCTTGCTGGAGATGGTGCATAAGCAACGATTGCACCAAGGTGTCGAGAGCGTCCTTGCCTTTCTTCAACGCAAGTTTTGGATTCTGTCTGGGCGTCGCCTGCTGAGAAGTGTTACCGAGAGATGCTTTGCTTGCCGTTGGTTCAAGGCCAAAGCAGCAGCCGAGGTGGTGGCGCCCTTACCAGCAGACCGTGTTGAACATCAACAGCCGTTCGGCCTTACAGGCATAGACTACGCCGGTCCTCTTTACGTCCAAACGGGAGAGCGGTCCGCAAAGCGATGGGTCGTGCTCTTTGTATGTGGTACCACTAGAGCAGTTCATCTGGACATGGTGGATAGTCTGTCAACAGAAGCGTTCCTTCTTGTCTATCGCAGATTCGTCGCGCGGCGTGGGAAGCCTTGCAGAATTCGTTCGGACAACGCTACGACGTTCAAGGCTGCCGCGGAGAAGATAGAGGTAGTGTGGAGCTTCAACCCACCCGCAGCACCCTGGTTTGGCGGGTTTTATGAGCGCCTGGTCGCTTGCGTGAAGACACCTCTGAAGAAGGTGTTGGGCAAAGCGCTTCTGAAACCTGAGGAGCTGGCCACAGTCCTGGCGGAGATCGAGGCAGTGGTGAATTCGCGCCCGCTTACGTCCGTATCAACGGACATCGGTGATGACATGGCCTTGACCCCAGCCATGATGATGGGAGATGTCTTTGCACCAGGGGCCCCCGAGGTAGAAGACGGCCTTACAGCTGCACAATTATCGGCCCGGTTCAGTTACATCATCAATGTCAAGGAGCACCTGAGGAAGCGGTGGCGGGAACAGTACTTGGTCGGCCTCAGCAGCTACCAGTCCGCCCAGGCCCGTCCGATCAAGGCTGGTGAGGTTGTCCTGGTTGTTGACGACAAGAAGAAGCGGCAGCTTTGGCGCCTCGGTAGAGTGATAGAGCTGTTCGCTGGTCGAGATGGCAAGAGCCGAGTAGCACGGGTGAAGATTGGTAACAGCACCATGCTCCGGGCAATTCCCCGTCTGGTTCCGTTGGAAGTGGCTAGTGAGCCCGAGCAAGTGGCTAGTGAACCGGAGGTGCCAATCGAGCAGCTGGCAAATACTCCAGCGGATGAACAGAGTGATCCCGTCTCAACCCCAGCAAGTCCAGATGTGGGGCAACCGGCTGAGCCACGAGAGTCACCTTGTTTGAGGAGGTCTAGGCGGGCCGTCAGGATCCCAGCTCGTCTTGACTTGTAGTGTGCGAAGACCTTTGGTGGGGAGGATGTTGTAAATGCGTTGAAAAGGTCTCCGTTGCACGTCCTGAAATCTCGTCACGACTTCTACTCCTTGCCTGTTTTCCTGCAAGCTGTTGCTGCATGCCATTGATTTAGTCTAATTGATTCTGTATTAGGTAACTTCTCTTACCTGTTGGTCTTTGGCCACGAGTGTCGTCTGAGTAATTATGAACATTGCGTGCGTTTGCTAGTAGAGTTCACGATTTGCTAGAGTTACTTACGTGCTTTGTTACTATTCTCCCTGAGTGAAGTTCCGCTGCTGAGTAATCCTACGATGTGTCACTATCTGACAGGGTTTACTCTCACCCATATCGGGTGCAAGCACCCACTGACAGGTGAAACCCTTCGGCTTCCCATACGTCTCTTTCCTCTTTCCTTTCGGATTAATTATTGTAGTTTGAATTTCTATTTGTTTATTTATTTTGTGTGTGCGTGCACGAGCCGCTGCCATGTTTCTTCAGTCGTGTATACCGTCATACGGTCATCTCACGCGTGCACGATATCTGGCTTGCCTTATTTGTTGGATTGTGGACTTTGCAACTGGGGGGAACTTCATCCTCATGTCGTCGTTCTTCCATGCTCGGATCGTGATTGCCCGCGAGGTTCCCGTCAAGACTACCTCTAGACGCTCCAGTTGCCGTACTACTGGCTCCGTTCCAAACGCAGTGACCTTGACTTCGTCTGTGCTCAGGCAGGATGGTCGAATTGCTGACGCTAGGGAGGCAGAAATAAACGAAGCTTGCGATCCTGGGTCAATGAATACCCTGACACGAGCTCGTTTTGATCCACACACCTCTGCCACTCCAGTCATGAGGTGTACACCGGCGGACGTTGTACAGCTATACGTTCTGATACCCTCGCTGTCCGTGCCCCTAGGCGGCTTAGTTTCGGATGGCCAGTGCAGCAGCGGGTGGTGTTTGGAGCCGCATTTGCACCTTGTCTTAGACTGACATTCCTTGACCTGATGGCCCACTCTCAGACAATTGTAACACAGCCTCTCCCTGGCTACAAACCATCTGCGTTCCACCGGCGCAAGCGTAGCAAGCTCCTTCTCAGCACCTTCGACGGAAACTCCCAAGCACTGGGCACTATGTTGAGGTGTGATGTAATGCGTCTCAGGTGACTTCACCTTCAGTGACTTACGGCCATGGGCGGTTTGGTAGGCCATGCCGTCCTCAGTGAATGCCTTCAGGTCCTTCTCGTAGCACCTTTTTTCGATCATGAATGCTTTCATATCTGGACCTATCGCCTCCAATATCACTTGCCGTACCATGGCTGCAAATAGCCCACTCTCATCGCGTCCACCGCGATGACTGTCCTCAGACTTTGGCATTGCGAGCTTTCGCCACTTCTCAGTGTCCCGACTTACTCGCACGACAAATTGGTAAAAGCTCTCGTCTGCCTTCTGGGTGTTAGCGATGAGGGCTTGCCAGGCTTTGTCCGCCGTCTTGCCAAATGCCGTCAACAGCTCACGCTTGGCATCGGCAAAGGTTTCACAACCATAGCAGGCACTTTCCAGCTTACTCCCCGCCAGGGCCACTCGTAGGCGTATCAGTAGCTCCTCAACTTCGTACTGATTTTGGTTGGCCACGTCTTCAAATAGCTCCAAGTAGCTTTCCACCGTCTGCTTTGCATCATATTTCGGAATTTTTATCGGTTTGGCTCTCAGCCCCTGAGCGCTCTCCGCAGACACACTGCTCGCTGTGTCATCTTGTTGAGCCGCTAACTCGACTTTCGCCTCTAACTTCGTTATCTTGTCCAGCAACTCTGTTTGCTGCCTGGTACTGTCTCTCTCTTCCATTCGAGCCTTGCGCTCTTCACTCTTCTGGATCTGCTCGGCATGCTCGACCCGCCTGCTCTCCACGTAACTCCGCAGACTCTCTCCAGTATAACCATAGGCCTTACCGTTCGCAATGAACGTTGCCTCCACACTCCCAGCCGAATACATCGGCCCTGCTCCTCGCTCCAGTGCAGTACTATCCTGGCGTGGTCGCCAAATTTTATGTATGCGTTGTATCTCAACGATACCTCACTCAAGACTTCCAGGCGTACCGCACACAAGCACTCTCAGTCTCAACCACCACGGGCATTACGAGTTTAGATAGATAAACATTACAGTAATGATAGAATAGAATGCATAACGGATATACGGGTAAGAGAGCTATTGCGACTCTGAGAGAACAACGAAAAACACCAAAGGAAACAACCAAGGAACAAACCACTCAAAACGCTGTCATCAGCAAAACGTGCCAGTACCGGTGCACACACGGCGACCCAAGCGAACTCAGCGTACCAAACACGCAACAAATAAGGCAAGCCAGATATCGTGCACGCGTGAGATGACCGTATGACGGTATACACGACTGAAGAAACATGGCAGCGGCTCGTGCACGCACACACAAAATAAATAAACAAATAGAAATTCAAACTACAATAATTAATCCGAAAGGAAAGAGGAAAGAGACGTATGGGAAGCCGAAGGGTTTCACCTGTCAGTGGGTGCTTGCACCCGATATGGGTGAGAGTAAACCCTGTCAGATAGTGACACATCGTAGGATTACTCAGCAGCGGAACTTCACTCAGGGAGAATAGTAACAAAGCACGTAAGTAACTCTAGCAAATCGTGAACTCTACTAGCAAACGCACGCAATGTTCATAATTACTCAGACGACACTCGTGGCCAAAGACCAACAGGTAAGAGAAGTTACCTAATACAGAATCAATTAGACTAAATCAATGGCATGCAGCAACAGCTTGCAGGAAAACAGGCAAGGAGTAGAAGTCGTGACGAGATTTCAGGACGTGCAACGGAGACCTTTTCAACGCATTTACAACAGGGGTGAATGATGGCTGAGTGTGGTGGTGGGGCCCATTAAGCTCCGCCGACCAGAGGTCTCGGCTTCATAGCTCCATGGACGCACCAAAGGGATATTGGGTAGGGAGGATTAAATTGAAAAAGAAAACAGAAGAAAGAAAATGGAAAGATTGTATTGCTCAGTGAGCAAAAGAATAAGTTGAGTATTGATGTGAACGCTGTTAGACTTTTAAATTCAAGAGGAGACTGTCCGTGAGGAGAGATTATGTATGTCCAAGCAGGGTAGGACACTGTACCCTCTTACTCGCGTATGCTATGAGTGGCCCAGTGCCAGTTCGTTCTGAGGAGATGGTGATAAGCTGCTGTCTTGAACTTTTGGATGTTCTTTGGGTGAAATCAGTGGGTGGGGAATGATAGAGGTAGGCAGCTGGTTCCAAACTGGGATGACGGAGTGGGGAAAGGCTCGGCTCACATTGTTCCGGGAATTGGCAGGAAGAACATTCTGTTACTGATGGGGATGCGCGGTGGACAGTCGTACAGCCTGGCGGGTGAGGCGTGTGGTCCTAGGTTGGTGTGTCGGGGGTGGAGCCATTCTCGAGAGAAGAGCGGGAGAATTATCGCAAAGGGCTTTATACAGGAGGCAGAGGGCAGCGATGGTGCGGCGAATTATGAGGCTAGGAAGTGTGCGAACACAAAAGGGAAGTGTGTACGAACACAAAAGGAAAGTGGGTACGAGCGCATATGGAGCTCTAGGCGCGTGCACACGGGGTGCAGGAGTTGCACCATATACGGAAGTATGCCATATACATCACCCTGCAGACTGCTTGTTCAACCATGTTCGATTGGAAATAAGGGCCGAACGCTGCATCGCAGCATTCTCGGACAAAACCAGTCGACTCAGCATCCAAAGACTACAACATATGGGCCAATCGCGTTCATCCGTGCTTTTATGAGAACAAAATGGCACTTTTAGTGACGCTTGTTATTTTTGCACACAAATCCCAATCTAGTTGGGCGCAGTCACCCAGTTTCGGTGGAAGTGGCGAGTTCGATTGGGAATAAAGGAGAAAGGGAGCGTCTCAGCTTCCTCAGACCAAGACCATTCGACTTAGTACCCCGAAGACTACAACTGGTGAAACTTTTGATTTCAAACTTAACTACCCCCCTTTAAACGGAGCTGTGATGCGCTTTTAGCAGGGCACAGAACTGGAGGTGGCTGGGCTTGGAACGGGGATCAGGTGGGAGCTGGTTCCCCAGGATTGCGCCGATGAACTGCATGGTCGCTCGACCCGCAGGACCGGACCAAAGTGGAACTTGCAGAAGGTGATGTGCTGCTCCCCAAGTGCGGTCACCAGTAACCCTCAGGAAGAAGCTGGTGAAGAGGGAGCTAGCTCGGGAGAAAAGACAACAACGGATAAAGATTAGGAGCTTGATGTTAAACATGTCCTCCAGGGTGGTGATGGCACCTACCTCGATGGCTTTTTGGACTGCCGCATCCAAATTAGTTGGGCGAGGTGACGCTGACGCCAAGCGCAAATCCTTTGATGCCTGTCCATCAATAAATAATTGCAAAAGCATCGAATCAAGCAGTGTGCATTGTTGTCCTGGATAGGCTCAATGAGGGAGCCGACGAAGTTCCGTGGCATATCCGTGTTGAGTTTCACTGGCCAGCTTCACTCGCTGGCGAAGACTGGCCTCGTGCATCAGGGCTTGCTGGGGCGGCTCAAGACGGACATGAAGTGTTCGACTGCGTCGGAAAAGTTCATGTCAGGCGTGTGGGTTATTATGTCCGTAAACATCTCGTGAGCTGTACCAACAAGGCGAGCAGGTAGTAACCGTAGCTTTTGGTGGTCATCGTACCCACTCAGCTCGCATGTGTGGACGAAATGCCTCATGTATGTGCAGAAATCTTGGCCTGGCTGATTGCCGAATGTCTCGGGAAGCAAAACTGGCTTCGGCAGTGGACGTGCATGTGCATGTGGTGTCTCTGTGTCCTGCAAGTGAAAGCGATGAGACAACCCTTGTACCGGCGAACTCTCGCGCTCTCCAGCAATGCTCATGTCGCAACCGGCTTCAGCGAATCTATGCTCTAGCTTTTCTTGTCTCTTGGATTTCGCTGAACGGCCCATAGTGAAAAAAATTGTTTTTGTATTTTTGAATTTTCCAAAAAAATTAATCTGCAAAAAAATTCCCGTGGACTCGATCGACGACTCGATCAACTATCGATCTAAATCTACAATTTCGTAACCTATCGTGCGTAGCGGCAAACAACTAAATTTGGCAGAGACAATTCCAAATAGGCAACTACTCTACGGACACAGTGTAGACTCTACTACCCAGCTAGCAGCTATCCTAGATCCTAACAACAGACAGCAGTCAGCACGCAATCATGCACAAAACACGGACACAGAAAATGTTCTGAAAAATGTTGGGCCAGACAGGTTGGCGCCAGTGCGTGACCTATGGACTGTAAACAATGCATGCAGCAAGAAAACGACGAGCAGAAAGAAACACAATGCAGAAAGGAAAAAAATCGACGAAGAGAGTGGATGAGGATATGGTAGTTCACTTGCGTGGGCCTCCGTGGTTCTTCGTAGCAGACGATCTCCGAAGGTGTACACACTCCACCAGCGATGTACACGTGGACGTTTTCCGCTGCCACCCGTGTTAGCCCCAGCTAAACGAAGTCCCCTCACACTTCCAGAACACAGGGGTTTTATAGTATTGAATATGGAATAAGTATATTGACAAGATAGTAGACCAGAACGAAGACAGAGCAAGAGAACCACTGAGCATGCGCTCTTCTATACTGGATTGGCTTTCATTACTATGGTGAAGGAGCGGGAAATACGAATAGTGAGTATGTACGCTCTTAGTATAAGAACACCTATTACAAGGCGAAGCGGTTGAAAGATCGGGCTTGTGCGTGACCATGATGGCAGACCTAAGAAGCCGCAGATTGCGTACTTCATTAGCCGTATCAGGGGCTCCATGTTGCCTATTTCTAGTGATGGATAGAACACGTTGGAAGCGTACAACAACCTACCCTGGATCGTCGACCTGTAAAACAGGATCTTTGACGCCAGGGTGAGGCTTCGGCGGCTCCGCCACAGCACACCTACTGACTTCCGGACCTGCTGGATTGTGTGGTTGATGTGAGGCTCCCAGGAGAGCTGACCAGCTACTATGACGCCCAGATATCGCGCTTGTTCCAAAACTGCAAGGGCTGCATTCCTACAGCGAATTTGTATGTCTCTCAACTGCCCGATGGCTTCTGACTGAGATACCAGGGAAACCTTAAAATGTTGTGTAAACCTTACATCAAGGTACTGTACGCATCCTGTTGCCGTCCACAGAAATCACCACACGAGTGTCGAGTCTGGCGTTTGTCTAGTCCATTTGCGGATCGTCCGTCAAGCGTCTCGCCTGTCAAAGGCGTTAGCATAGGGCTTACGTCTCGGCAGGTTTCGGCGATGGCTTCAGTCAGCACATCCCGCACAGTGTCATGGCGGGCTGACGTGAATGTTTATGACTTTCATTGCATATACATAATGTCTTTCTCAGAAGTTTCTCTGTCTGTTCCGTCTGATTTGAACTGAACTTGGAGTTCAACACCAGTTACTCGTATGACATGAGAACACCTATAGTCTACAAAACAATTCTGTTTGCTTTTCGCTGATGTTCGTCAAATCTCTCACCCTGCCATTGTGAAATCAGCATTACAATTTTCAATTTTTCATGACGCTAGTGTTCTTCATTGTAGCTCCCGGCTAAACCCAGTCTCTGCGGAGGCGTGGGTTCGAATCCCACCGCTGCCACCAGTGTTAGCTCCCGGCTAAACCCAGTCTCTGCGGAGGCGTGGGTTCGAATCCCACCGCTGCCACCAGTGTTAGCTCCCGGCTAAACCCAGTCTCTGCGGAGGCGTGGGTTCGAATCCCACCGCTGCCACCAGTGTTAGCTCCTGGCTAAACCCAGTCTCTGCGGAGGCGTGGGTTCGAATCCCACCGCTGCCACCAGTGTTAGCTCCCGGCTAAACCCAGTCTCTGCGGAGGCGTGGGTTCGAATCCCACCGCTGCCACCAGTGTTAGCTCCCGGCTAAACCCAGTCTCTGCGGAGGCGTGGGTTCGAATCCCACCGCTGCCACCAGTGTTAGCTCCCGGCTAAACGCAGTCCCCTCACTCTCGCAGAACGCAGGGGTTTTCGGTAGTATTGAAGAATTATATTTAAACAAACGGCGAGGAGACAATAATTCAATAACCGCAGTCAATAAGACCAGCTGAATCGACATTTGTGTATACTTTATTCATGCAATGTAAAACGGTGGAGATAATGTGCAATAGACAATGTGAAATATTGCACATTGTCTCCACCGTTTTACATTGCATGAATAAAGTATACACAAATGTCGATTCAGCTTGTCTTATTGATTGCGGTTATCGAATAATTATATGGACGAAGTATTTGGACAAGAGAGTAGTCAAGAAGGAAGACACAACTAGAGAACCACTCGAGCATGTTCTCTTCTATGCTTGATTGGCTCTCATTGCTATGGTGAAGGAGCGGGAAATAAAAAAAAGTACTGTACAGTCTTAGTATAAATACACATATTACACTTCTTTCTCAATCGCGTGTCTTGTGCAGAGCTTTGCGATGAGACATGTCAACCATTTCAGCAATGCGTAGGGGACGGTCGCAGGCGGGTTAGGTGTGGTTGTGAGACATTGTGTGCTGATTCCACGAATACTAACCGGCAGGTGTGTGCATCCAATGGCGAGACATACTCCAGCAAGTGTGAGATGCGGAAAGCCGGCTGCAGACTGCAAAGCAAGCTGCAGGTAATTGTGAGAGGTAGTTGTCAACGACCTGCAGGTGAGTGAGAAATGCAAGGCTGAACTTTTAATAATATCAACATGTCCTACTAACAATGTTTGTTGGAGATTTTCTGGTGAAATCAACATAAATCATGGTAGCGACGTCGGCGATGATTTCATTGGAAAGGTGTTTGTTCCCTACACCGGAGCTCTCGCTTTTCCGCCGAGTTGACATTTGACCCGTGACTGAAATCCTGAGCACACGGGAAGTCCATCGAACCTTCGACTCGGCAAAACTTCAAGAATGCACCACTCCCTGCTCAATACACAGTGCATGTATTTCGTGGAATGCACCCCTCATCAGTTGAGCTTGAGTAGGCTGAGGAAGATTGTCTCTTAAGACAAACCACTAAAGGAGTGCTCTCCAGGCCAAACCATCACCAGAGATACAAACTTACAGTCTCTCTCTCTTTCTCTCTCTCTCTCTCTCTCTCTCTCTCTCCCCGTAGCTCTCTCCCTTTTGAAATTCGCTTCCATAGAATTGGGCACCATTGCCCGTTTGGCCTTGCGAAGTAAAATAAAAATCAACAACAACAACAACAGAGGCGCTCCATTTCCAGCACGAAAAACACCTCGTGAACACCAGATAGTAGGGTACGTCAGTGTCACTCTAGCTCAACTAATGAGGGTGAAGTCCCCGAAACTCTCTGTATCGAGCAGGAAGTGGCGCATTATTGCAGGTTTTCCAAGTCAAAGGTTTGATGGACTTCTTTTGTGCTGTGGATGGCAGTCGTGAGTCCGTCAAGTGTCAAGCCAAGTCTGCGGGTAAGGGCGGGCTCCGGTGTGGGAATCAAATTCCTTTCCTATGAATCATGATCAAGGAGAGCTCACATCATGTACACGTACTAGCATTGAAAGACGTTCTTGGATGGTTTCTACGTGTATATCAACAGATCCTTGCTCCACTGCAAAATGCTCACGGAGCCAAGTATGCATCCTGGACCCTGCCGACGCTAGGCGACCGAAATGCATCTGCAACCACCAATGCAGCCGGAGCATCAACTATGTGTGCGGAACCAATCATCAGTCTTACACCAGCCCTTGCCACCTGCACAAACGTGCCTGTGAGGAACAAACGAACGTCACAGTTCTCCACGATGGTCTATGCTCCTTGCGC